AATGATACACATAACAGTCACTCCTACGATCGGGACATAAATAAAATAAAAAAGGAAGAAACTGTATATGGTAGATAGTGAGATAAAGGAAGCCGACTTTTCTTCATCCTTACTCCGTGAAATTTACTAGTTGAGAAGTGACAACGGGAGACACCTGGTGGGGATAACTGATTGATTGACAGATCTACACATGAAAATTATAGTATACTAGCAAGAAACTCCTTTTGAGCTTTTACAGAGGTGGCATCTAAATTATTATTATTTTTTAAATAAAAGAACACTCACAGTCGTGAGACACTATTTTGTACTGTACTCAATAGAATACGCAGCGCACGCGATGTAAAGAATTTTTAAGGTAACTTTAGACACCTTGGGTTACATTATTGGCGTTATTGTTTGAAAATACAATATATTATAGACTATGTTCGCCGGATTGTTTAATTGTAACACTTAAATGCCTTATTACTCATTATCAGAGCTTAAAACTTCTTACTTATATCTCATTTTATCTTAACACGGCAGCACTCTAACTAGAACTGCGTTGCAAGAGAGCAATCAGCTCACTCGTTTCTATGGGAAAAATCTAATTTTCGCGGATATCCTACCGTATGGTCTGTCTCAACACAGAGTATTTCATTACGCTCTCATAAGACAGGTCGTATCAGCTGATTCAGTCTACGGGCTTGCGTCGGTGACTGTTTCCAGCATGAAAGAGTGGTAGAGTAACTAAACCGAACAGCCGAAGTCTTTATACGAATAATATGAGTTGTTTTTTTGGATGGCAGCTCTTAAATCTCTTCAAGTTTCTCTCCATCCCAAATGTGGCAGTTTTGTTTGTTTACATACCCATTGAACAATTGAGCCAGAAATGGACCTCGTCGCTGAACAAAATTTAGCTCGAAAACGTCGGATCTTGGAACTTTTTAGGAGCTTATAGAGCGAAGCGATGTCGCTTACAAAGGTCGAGCGGCTTCAGTTCTTGCATAAGCTGTATTTTGTACGCTTTCAATTTAAGATTTCGACGAAAACTACGCCAAGTCGCTCCATAGATCAGTCCGAGTGGTTGCGAACGGCGCCAAATCGACTCTCCACGGTCTTCGTGTACACTTTCAGCTACTGCCACTACATTTTCTTCACTGCGTGCTAGACGCGGTCGATTCGGTCGAAAATTATTTATTAATGAATGCTGGGTCTCGAGATGGATGATTGTGTGATGAATAGTACGTTCCCAGAAACCGTGTTCAGGCATAACTTTTGCTATGATAAAATGCCAACAATACTGAACAAAAATAACATGACAAATTGACACGACTTCCGCGTGATCTGTCTAAACTGTCTACTTGGCACGTACAAAAAGTACCTCTTCTTGGATCATCCGTACAACATCCGTTTGTCAGCCCCACAATTAAGGCATTATATAGAATTTGAAATGACACTACATAATAATATAATAATAACCCAACGATTACCCTCCTCCCGCCAACCGACGCGAGGGGCGCAACCCGCTTAAAAGGCAAGAGATTTTTATGAGTTGTTGAGATCTAAAACTGCTCAGCTACAGAAACAAAAATTTCAACAGCTAAGATCTAAAGTTACAATATAATAAATTGTTACATTTTCATTTATTAAGAGAAAACAATAAAGTCTTTTTAATTTTAAAAAGTGAGTCAGATAAGTCAAATGTGCTGGAATGAGAATTAAAATCATGACATATACGGCGGAATGGCTCGTTTAGTTCAAAATTTGATCTACAGGATTTTAGCAGTAAAGGTCTAAACTGCCTCGAAAGGCGATCCGGGATATTAAATTTAATTTCAGACAAGAGAAAAGAACTGCAAACAGTTCCATTCAAAAGTTTCACTAAGAATATTATGCCAAGCATTTCCCTACGACTAGAAAGTGTAGGTAGATTAATAAGTTTTATTATATTATTTTTTATTTTCTAAGGCGAGATTTGTAAGTACTGACTGATTCATCAGAAAAATTGGAAAAACCCTTTATACCCATTAAGCACTTATAAATATTTTTAAATTAATTAAAGAAATAATTTTGGAAGTGTAAGAAAGGCCTCGTTGAAGAGAGTTAAGCGAAGTTTCCGAAACGAGAATTGTATAATTTATAATATAGATATGTATGTACTAAATACGTACGATTTATTACATACATATATACATGCATATGTAAATTAATAATCTAGATGAGTGCAGTAAGTATATCAGATCTCGAATATGTAATCGGAAGTTTGACATATATCCTACACGCTACAATCCACTGCAAGTTGAAAAATATTATTCTCGTATATAAGTGTATATTGCTTATATTTGAATGATATTTAAAATGTTTTTACATATCTACCTCTATGTATACATATATAAAGCAAACGGTAGAATATGAATTCACCACCATAATGCTATATATACATTTGTTTGCACTTGCCTTTATAGGCACCTTTATGTGCGAAAAGCAAATATGTATAAAAAGTTCATGAATCAGAAAAATATGTATGCATTAATGATTTACTTTTCGCACATTATATTCGTACAGTCATATGGGAAAAACACACACATACACCATCAAAATTGCAGCCTTTCACTGCAGTCACGCACACCTTTCGCTAACCGAAAGTTTGGGTACACGCGCCCTTATTACAACCAATGCTGTTTTCCCTCAGTGCTATCCTTACGCGAGCGTAAAAGCCACGAGGGCTAACGCTGACCCTCTCTCAACGTCCTTCAGCGACGCGCTTCCCGCCAAAGCGCCGCGCCTTTGTTGCAACTGCAACAAAAACCAAAACAAATCACCGCTACACCCCGCATACATCTCCCCCTACACACTCGCGATGCTAGTGCGATTTCGTGTCGCAATTAATGAATCTGCACAGTGCAGCGCTGTAACGCACTCGCCACTCGACACGCTTTCTTCGCAGCAAACGCGAAGTTAATATATGGCAGTAAACATGCGAGAAAGTGGAAATGATAAAAAAAAAACAAGCGAAAGCGAGTGAATTTGAGAGAAACAAAGAGAGAGTGAAAGAGAGAATGCAATCGTATTTAAAGTAATATATTCGCTCACCTGCTCCTTTTTAGAACGAAATGCTGGTTCTGAGCAAACCGAAACTGCGAGTGGGAGGTAATGAGTATGTAAACACTATTCGATGTGAGCGAAAGGACAACGAAACGTCTTGTAATGGGAGGGAATAAGCGAGAGACAATGCGTTTTATGTTGAAAATGGGCGATGCAAAGAGAATAGAGAAATGTATTCTTAATATTGTCAAAGAGCGTAAGTAAATTTTGCCATCGGATTTTATACCCACATTGACACAGCTGTTACTTTTTGGACTGGCTCCTATTTTAGTATATCCTCAACGTAATTTAAAAGTCATTTATCATATAGCAGTCAAAAAAAAGCGTAAGAAGATTTTAAAAACTGTTTTGAATTTTTATCATTGCTATTATATTTCTCTATCGTTAAACTGATAAATAGTAAGTAAGTTAATCATGCTTTCACTGCATTGACACATCGGCATAGGTGAAAAGATGGACCAAAGGAAGAAATCTATGACCAACACCGCTTAGTGAAAATAAGCTTCTCAATAGAATCAACATAGATACTTTTTCTTCAAATTAAGGTCCAGCTTAATTCTAGAGGCTCAAAAGAAGTCCACGTCGGAACACTAGGAAGTTCATACGTGTACTGTAGATCTAGGTGATTTTGTACAATGTATTTTCTCCGAGCTATTTTTGTTTCACCAGCTGAATCAACATACGTCAAAGCATCCAGAAAGATTGGTTATTTCACTGTATCAGTCGGCTTACTATCTTCAGAAATAAAAACAATTAGATCAGACACTCTTAAATTTTGTTAGTCTGATCATCGAACAGCTCGTCTTTAGAAATCCACACAGCGCGTCTCCATAATCAAAGTATATTGTGCCAAATAAGTTAAGACTGCCGGAAAACCCAATCACTTCACTTGGAGCAGTCATAACTTTCATAAAATTCTGTTATATGTACATTATACATTTAGCTCAAAAGGAACTAATACTATCGAAAACCTCAACTTAGGTAAGAAGATGAATATTATCTTTAAAATGTATGGTCCATACATAGCTGATTGGCAAATCTATCAAAGATCCTAATGCCTAAAATAATCATAGTATACCATGAGTATAATCTTTTGTAAAGCTTCTATCTCAATTTTGGTGAGAGGTTATGTTAAAATGTGGTCTGAAAACCTTTTAATGATGTAATGTATAGATATTAATGGAATTTTAGTGATTAACGCGAATAACTAAAGTCTTGAAAAATACTTCTTTTTCGATATATGACTTATTAGCTTAAACCAATACATAAATACTTTCAGTTCATTGTAATGAAGCAGCTCATAAATGCTTCCAATGACTATATTGGACTTAAAAGATTGTTCTACAAAGAATATTTTATATTTATAATTATGAAAGGCGCAGTCGCTTTTGCAATTAGTTATAGTTTTAAGCCTATTAAACAATAGTTGTGTTAGGGTTGGTTAAGGGTTGGACTTATACCATAGATATGAGATATTGGCTGGCTAAACAGTTGGCTAATAATATTAGCACATGATATTTGGTCAACAGAAAACTTCATTATTAATGTTTAACATAACTTTGAATTAACAATAAATTGAACTCTTCGAAATTCATATTAAATATAAGTCGTTCGAAACATGGTGATAATCATAGTACATTCTATAATATCTTTGGCTATACACTTGTACATATTTCATTGTTATTACGATGTGTGTTTGACATTTGTTGTCTCTGTTCTCTTATTGTTTTTGTCATAGTCAACTAACTGTTGTTGCAACTGCTGTTGCCTGACAGGAATATCCGCAATGTCAAACGAATACGCCACAAACATACTATCGAATAGATATGTGCCTAGGTACACTCACGAAGGAGTTTCGTGTGTCGCATGCACATTTTCCCAAGCAATTTGTGGCAAGTTTCAGTTTGTGGCAAACAACGAACGAGAGCAGTTCGCAGCAGCGGGTAGAACAAACGGTCTAATAACAGTTCAACAACAACGCACTAGGGCAAACAGCACTTGCTGCAAGCAAGCAGAAGTGCAGGCCGAGAGCGCAAATTGGGAGCATCAAGGCAAAGTAGCTGAAGTAAAGTGCTTCTAAAAAGAAAACAAAAAAAAAAAAAACAAAGTGCGAATTAAAATAAAATTTATACGTGAAAGTGGTGTAAACAACGGGCATGTTGTGCAAACTCAAGAAATAACAAATACAAAAGTGGTGCAAAATAAAAACACAGGAAATTTGACTCCAGATACAGACAAAATTTTGTGGCTTCGACCGAAAAAGTCGCGAAAATCTACAAAACAACATTTGCGAAATGCATTGAAATAGTTGTAGGAAGTGTTTAACTGTAGAACGCGTTGCAACAGAGTAAACGCTGCGGCTTAAAGGAACCTTTGTGGTGAAATCTCTTTTTTTATACCTAGCGGTTGTTTGTGTATTTGCTGGTTTTCTAATTGAACTACTTTCGCAAGTAAATATTTCTGATAATAGAAACATTGTCAACGCAACTATTGTGGTGACAGCGGCAGCACAGCCAGCAACACCATAAGCAGCAGGAAAAGCGCCTACAACCAAAACGCAGGCAACAACGACGGCAGCGACGATAACAACCGACGCTTGAAAATGTCAACACTTCCGTTTTTGTTGAGCGTCGCCGATGAGCTCGATAACCTCAACTCCCAGTCGTACATGGACGACTTCGGGCTGGGCTTCCATCCGCATCGCCAATACTATCGCACGCCCACTATACAATTGTCCTTACCCGCCAGCACCGACTGGATGGAGCACGAGCGTTCGCAACGCTGTCGCTCACACAAATTCGTCTTCGAAACACAAAACAATCTAACCGCCACAGCGGAGGGTGATGAGACGGACGCCACCGATGAGGCTGGCAATGGTGGTGGCACGCTAGATGCTGGCGCCGGTGGCATGGTCACAGATAATGCATACACCGAACGCTATGGCAGTGGCGCGAGCACATCGGCCGCCAGTCGCCAAAAGTATACGTCGCTGCTAAATTCCAATAATGAAGATGGCAATGGTAAGGGCGGTGTTGGTAAGCGCAACGAAGCTGACACCATCGACAATACGGTGCAAATGTATAACTTGTCGAAGAAGTGTTGCAAGAATTACTATCGACGCGGCGACGAACCGACGTCAGCGGCATTGGCGGCTAAGGGAAAGTCTGCAGAGGGCGGCTATCGCTTGCATGCCAAGTGCATGGAAAGCGCCAACTCGTCATCGGACGAGAGTTTGCAGAAGCCAACATCATCCATTGAGTTTTTGACGTGCTTCCTGGTGAAAAAGTCGCGTGCACCCAAAGGCGCGGGCATTAGTGGCGGCAGCGGCAAGAAATCGTCGTAGGACACGGTGTCAAAGCGTCGCAGTCATTGTTTCTGAATATGTTGTTGGGGGGTCGAGGATGTGGAAGAAGGCGCTGTAGCGAGCCGCAGTTGCGGGGGTTGGTTGGGTTGTTGGCGCAGTACTTGCTGCGGTAAGCTTGAAAGTCAGTGAAGTAGTGGCAGCTGAGGTCAGGTGAAGGCGAGGCGAGTTAGATGATTGACGATTGGCGTTAGAAGACTGCCGATTTACGCAGTCAGGCGGTTGTAATGCAACACAACAACAATGCACAGTAGCAACAACAAGCTGCTGTACTTTCACACTTTGTTTGGCAATGAGTTGCCGAAGCTGTCAAGGGTAAACTGCAAGGACTTCGAGTTGCTTGCGCGCGTTGTGGGATTATTACAACAAAGCATTGTTGTTGGCAAATGCGAAAGTGTAATATGCGAACGCTAATAATTTATAAAATTTGTAAGACATGCTAATAAGTCTGCACTTGGCACACATACAGACTTATGTATGCTCCCAAAAAGTGAATAAAAAAAAAATTGTTTTAAGTGTAATTATTAAAAAAATTAAATTATGTTAAAATCAATAAATAAACCAAACATAAAAACAACAATAACCATAACGGTAGTGCGTGTTAAGTGAATGCGGAAGTAAAATATTCAATTGGTGCCTAAATGTTAGTTCCGTAGAGTAGAACAGCCACATTGGCCAGCAGCAAATTAACAGTTAACCAATGGCTGAGGTGTTTTTTGTTAACCTTGTAAGCTTTAGGCCGTAGTAGTAACTTTTAAGAATCGACTTAAGTGTCATACGTTGCACATTTTCAGTTATATATATTGCAAATGTTACTGGTGAGGCGGTGTTTCGGTGAACCATTACAAAAAAAAAAAAATTATAAATAAAATTTGGGGGAATTTAGTTGGGAACAAGCTTTATTAGAATGCGGAGTTTTTGGTTTTTAATAAATATACTTCCCATGCGGTTTTCTAAACGAGCAGGAATATGTTTTTGAAATGAGACTACGAAAGAGACTTAGAAGCTATTTATGTGCCAATCGATCAAGGTCTATATACAACAGTTGTGAATAATCTTCAGTATTTAAGTAAAGTTCCAGAACTTTGTGCATAAAATATTCAAAACTGAACTTTATGTTGGTGTGTTTAATTGTTTGGGAGACTAAAAGAGCAACTAATCCTTAATAACTCGATCCGTTGGTAGAACCATTACCTTCGAAGTTGAGCATCTTACTGTATGTAAATACCTTTGTCGATGCAGTTTTTGAATTTTTCTTCCATAATTTTTTTTATATTAAATTATGGATTCTCAGTTAATTGTGATCAGAGAGAAGATAAGATGAAAACTGTACTATTAAATTATTCAAAAAAGCTTTTCTAGTTTCAGAAGCATGAAATTCAATCATTGAGATATGATTAGTTTTCAGTATCTTAGCCAAGTTTCGGAACTTCATTCATATTTATATATACCATATATGCTACATGGGTTGAAAAGTCCTTGACCGAGAGATCACCTCAAAGAAGAAATCTCTATACCTCTTAAATTAAGAACTTTACACATAGTATTTTCAAAGTTGCCTGACAATACATTTAATCGTTCTCTAGTTATTGGAATCCAAGTCGATCAAAAAGAGAAATCTTCAAATAGCCAGCACATGATATTAAAACGAGCGAAGATTTGTGGCAATGAAATATGGGTACATCATTACACTCCTTGTAAGTCCAATCGGTAGTCTACTGTATTTTCTCAGATTAACTTGACATTATATACGGCGTTATTGGATCGATTGAATGCCGAGATGAAAGTTAGGTCAAAGCTGTAACAAATTTGTATTTCTTCATATCAGCAATATATTATTTTTAGTAGAATGGTATATTAGCTGGAGACCCTTAGAGATACATTTCTGTATGCCATAAGTAGTTTTCTCAATTCAGAAGTTCCATTTTGTTGATTACTTCGAATAGGCTTAATTTGAAACGTTATAAATATTGCTTTTGATGGTTTTGTTGCAACAAAGGAAGGAGTTTTGACTTCTGAAGAAGTTTTTGGGATTATCGTACCATTGTAATCAGATCTTCCAAGCAAAAATTCTGTAAGACTCCAATTTTGAAAGCAATTGCGAGATCAGTTTCTGGAGAGAAGTTAACGGTTGGAGCTTAAAATATGACATGCCGAAGTTTAAATCTGAAGGAGTGTTTCTAGTTTTTCAAAATTTTAGAGTATTAATACTCTAAGAGGTTTGGGATGTTGTGTTGGAGTAATAACAACTGATCTTTAGGAAAAGTTTCCTGTATATTGGTTACTGGGTTCATGAAAATTAAATTTTTTAGCATTTTATGTTCTTATATTATCACTAATTTATAACTTGAAATCATATATGTGTATTTCTCAGCTACTCTCAGCTAGCTTACCGCCTGCAGTAACAAAAGAATAACGGAATATTTAAGCAAGATATGCATATTTGACATGCTATATTTTTTAATAAATAAAACAACTAAATTAAAATAAAGTAACTACAATAAAAAAGATAATTTTTGTACCTTCTTTTATACCAAGAACCAGATACATGTGTTTTTATACCAACAAATAAGAGAATTTAGAGCAAACAATTGCATAGATTTAAGTCGCAAAGTCAAGTTTAAGTGCACTCAATGAAAATATATATATATATTAATTCTTATATAAATAAGGAAATAAAATAATGAACGTCATATAAGTATATGCAATCAAAGCGTTGAAGTAGTTGAAATGCCTAGAAATTAGGGTCAATGTAAGCGAGCATTAATATTAAGCTTGAATCTGCAGAGGACAGCAGACATAACGGTGTATGTGTATATGAATTTGCAAAGAAATATATATGATATATAGACAAAAGAATTTAAACAATGAAGATCTAACTGGGACATTGCATTACTTTGAAGGAGACGCGGAAGCAAGGAATATATGTGTGTATTTAGACAGGCAGTTGAAGGAAAGGCATGGGTGCTTCACCTTGTTCCCTTTAACGGATGTTTAGACGTGTATGTATATATGTATATGTAAATATGTGGATATATGTGTAATTGTGTGCAATGAGTAATGCTGTAACGGTAATTGTAGCGGTAATCGCATGACTCGTTGAAAGACATCGCAATCTTTTACAGTTGTACAAAAGTAACAACTAATACAAATGTTAGGAAAAAAGTTGCGGCAAAATGATGTATTGCACGAAAAGTCTCTCCGTTAGACAGTCAGAAAGTCGTTGAGGCGAAAGCCTTACAACGTTTGACATTTGTTTGATTTAATAGCAGGAAAATTGCGATTTGACGAAATCAATTTCATGCACTCAAGCGAAAATTTTCACGTTCATGCATACACACACGCACATACGAGTATAAATATTTTCGAAATATTGTATTTGTTGTTGTTTTTATTAGCGAATGCAGTGAAGCGCAGCAACTCAGCGAGCGAATCAAACGGAATGCAATCGAGCGCTCTGCACTGACATGGAATCGGTGACACTATTTTGTAAACAACAACAATTACGTATATACATACGTACATACATATATATATATTCACATATGCATATTAGTAATTTATGATCTGAGGCAATGCATAATAAATAAATGCTCTAAATAGAGTGAATTAAGTAAATAGACAAAATCAAAGTGAAATTGCAAACCAATAACCAACAAAAACAAAAGCAAAATCAAATGCAGACGAGTAATATTTACTGAAAAGCAAAGAAAAACAACATTCACATATACTCAAAGTGCTAACACACACTTACACATGCATTGCATATATGCCTAGAGGTCTTTTAAGCAAACTCGTCAGTGAAAAACCAAAACAAAAGCGCTTAAAGCCGGCTTATCACGGCAGCAAAAACACACAGTTATAGTAAATGAGACAAAGAGTAATAAAGAAAACCGAAAAATAAAAACAAATGTAAACAAGTAATAAAAGCAATACACACAATGTGGGGAAAATGCTTTGGAGCCTACTAAAATATTTAAGCAAATAAAGTGGATTTATGGCAAAACAAAGTGAAGCAAAGCGAAAGAGAGAAAAACGAAACAAAATAAAGGCAGAAAGTAGCAAAATAAACAAAAAAAAAAAAAAAATAATAATAATAAGTACACAAAACAAACAACACATAGACAAAATAATGTTTTTGAAGGATTTTTTATGAATTCCTTTTGAAAAAATGGTATTAAAATAAATAGCAAAATAAAAAAATGAATTTATTTAAACTACTAAAAAATACGTTTAAGTAAGAAAGAAATTACTAAGAAAATGTAAAAATATACATACGTAAATATTTATCTGTATATTAGGGTGAGCCAAAAACTGAATTTATATATATAAATAGCAAGCAAAAAAATCTGTTTTCTTTAAAATACCATACCTTTTGAACCGTTTAGGATAAAAATACTTACATCGCGAATTCTTGTAGAGCATACAATTTCCTCAAGAGTTCCAAAATTCGTATCTTGAAAAGCTTTGAACAGGGTATTGTAAGTTTGCCGCGAAGTTTGTAACACCCAGAAGGAAATGTCGGCGACCCTTTAAAACATATATACGAGTATAAATGATTCGCATGGCAAGCTGAGTCGGACATGGCTACCGTCTATTTGTCCATCTGTATATACGAGTCTTCGGTTTTTGAGATATCCTTTTCTCATCAAGAAGCTGCTCATTTGTCGAAATCGCCCATATCGAACAACTATAGCATATAGCTATCATACAAAACAGAACGATCGAAAGCATGTATTTGTATGGAAAGTCTTTTCATTTTACGAGATATCTTCAAGAAATTTAGCATGGCTTATTCTCTAAAGCAGTCGTACAATTTCCGGAGAAATTGTTCAGATCGGATCCCTATAGCATCTAGCTGCGATACAAACTGATTGATCGAAATCTACTTGTAGTTCTCATAAGGGATATTTTGTATTTATGAAGGTAATTATAGCTACGGTGCAACCGAAGTTAATGTTGTTTCGTTTATTTTTTTAATAAAAAAGTTAGCTTGGTTCTAGTTTTTTGTTAAATATGCGCATTTTTAATAACTGCTACTAACTTCTATATATACAAATTCTTTATTTTTCAAAATTTCCTTTAAGGTAAATTTTCCGGGAATTTGTGGTGTTAAAACTTGTCTCCTAAACAGTTTAAGTTCGGTTATGATTATTTTGATGAAAAGCAATTTTTACGTGTTATTAATATGGGAATCTGGGAAAGCTCTCGGTCACCGTTTGAAATTAAGCTAAACAATTTTCTATGCCAGGATATTTGCTTTCCTCTAAATAGATTAATCTTAACACTTTAAACACGATAGGAAATTTTTTAGCTCACCCTAATATTACATTCTATGCGTAATGACAACTGATGTTGAGGTTGTTTTTTTTTGAATAAGTTTCATATGAAAAGTTAACGTTAACAGATTTTATGAAAAAATATTAAACATACATTTATAAGAAAATACCATAGAGTTATATAGGAAATAAGAAAAAATTAAGTTTCGACCTACATAGATGAGGAATATGAATTATCTAAATATATTCATATATTCGTCGTATTTTATTTTAAATTTCATAAGTGAACTACATTATTAGTCAAAACGAAGTAGTTTGGAAAACTATATTTTTAATTTCACTTCAGACTTACTGATTAAATTTTCGATTACTAAAATGCTACTTTGTTCGACTCTTCGCTAACACGACGTCTGACATTACTTTTTTATTTAGGGGAGAGAGAAAGTGAAAAATGAATCGATGAGTTTAAATGAAGGCTGGCTTCTTATAATGGAGATCGTAACTTGTTACAGTGACATACAAAACTTTCACATACGGTAACCTTTAGGAGGATCTGTTATTGCAGTCCTGCCGGCTTATGTAGTTTGTTCGATTCGGTACTCTTCAGCGCTTGGCGAATCGAAGACAGCTATTGTAAAAATAAAACCGTAAAAAAGTAAATAACGGTAATAAGTTATGCATTTCTTTATTACTAAGCAACAGAGTAATACTTCTATTATTGCGACAGATATTTTATTGTGTTTACAGAGTAATCAAGCTGAAGTGTTATCAAATTTCAATTTAAATCAAATTAGTTGAAAATATCAGAAGAAACCGATTGTTATTGCTAAGAAAGCTACTCATATCATCTTAAGATAATTACCATTTACACCACACAGAAACACCATCCATACATACATATATATCACAGAAAAAAAAACACATTTCGTGAAACACAACTGAAGAATCCTATGAGGAATAGTTTTCTTGAAAAATTGTTAACAAATCTTAGCAAATAAAATATCAAAATCGATTGTTAATAATAGAAAATTTAGTAAAATTTAATTGCAGCATAGTATAAATATTTTAGTGCGTAATTTAGTAAATATATACATACATATTTATATAAATTAAGAACAGTAACAAGTGTCTATAAAGTAAAACTTCATTTTAGTATTCTAAAGTACATTCTAAATATTTAATCACATTTATAGATATGTATGTGTTTATGTAACGGTTTTACTCATTACAAAAAGAAAACAAACAAAAAAAAAAAAAGAAATTGATGCGTTTGAAACTTACGATAGAAGTCGTTTTTCCAAATAGTTTATTAAGCTCAACATATACACGCATACATACCAACTTGAGTATATAATGTATTTATAAAAAATATTGATTTAGATCTTGGAATGTTGCAGAAATTTTACTGGATGATTATCAAAGTAATCAATGTAGAATACTACAGAGTACTATTACAAGTATTTAGATTCGAAGTGTTTAACTATTATAAATACAAGCGCACATGTAAGTACATATTATATAATCATCATTATATAATATACATTGGGGTATCCGTTATTTCGCAAGTTGATTTTTGATTTTTGCAAACGCTCGATGAATTTTCAGTTTGTGCCCCAAAAACATGGATGCAACATAAAGAAACTCTTTATGCCTAAATCATTTTACTTTTCGCCTCTATGTAACAGGAGATTTTTTGACGGTTCGCATTAAGCAAGCAAATCTATAACTTTGAGGAATTTGTTGCTCTACAAAAAATATCCGAATGAATTTTTCCATAAGAGCATTCCTTTAGTAGCTATATGCAGTTAAAGTTACACAGCAAATGTACAGAGCATTCATACAAATGATTTATACATTAATTGTTGCTCATACGACATGGTGTACTATATGAGTACTTAACTTTAACTGCGTATAACTTTTAAAGGAATGTTTTTATGGAAAAATCCATTAAGACCTTTTTGGTACAGTTTTATTTTATATTTGAATATTATTCTTTCAAAGTTGTAGGTTTATTTGCTTTGTAAATCAACAATTTATTGCAAAAGTTTAAAAAATTATTTTACATAGAATTGCTGAAAAGTAATATGATTTAAACACGTTTGAAAATGAAAAAAAAAATTTTTTTTAATATTTTTATTTTGCGAAAACTGAAACCATAGCGGGCGTTGGCAAAAAAAAAATCAATTTGCGAAATAGCGGACACTCCAATATGCATACAGATATGAAGCTAATTATTGCTTGAAAAATTACCCCATAAATTACTTAAAACTTAAGTCTTAACTTAAACATAACCTAAAAAGTGTTTTTTAGAATTTAGCACGAATGGTAGATATTTATAGTAACAACGTCGGCAAATCTATTTGAGCGTTAAAATATGCATATCAATTAGACACATACTTACGAGAAACTTCCAAGTGAAAGCCGAAAGAAAGCGCTAAGTTCATTTTAAATACAGAGTTCAACTCATACTTAAGCTCACGCCATCTACATATATTATACGTCTACTCTACTTTACTCATGTGCACTCATACATATTTAATACTAGAATACGAGGTACTAGAAATAGCGGTGCACACATCTACTTATGTATATCATATACTATATGTTATCAATGTATGTGTTAAGTGACTTCAAAGTCGAAAATATTAAAATAAAAACCAAAAGAAATACGCTAAAAATATGGAAACGGTAGACAATTTGTGAATATTTTTTTGTGGAAATACACTTAAGTGGAAAGCGCTGGCACTGGTGCATGTGACAGACATTTACTAGCTGAATTCCCTTCTCATTTCCGGTCGAAAATTTCAAGTGTGCCCAAGACAACAGTTGGCGGACGGACAGGCTGACTGGTATACGCCAACGCGACCACTTGGCGCACTTGCGCTATAGCAGCTGCCGCTGGCCAAATACTCACACACACATATATACTTGTATGTACCTTCACACACACTCATACATCGCTGCTGACTTGCATATATATGCCACTTCTTGTTGCAGTTGCAATGTTTACATTTATCATTGGTAGCTGCAGTCCTTGTGGTGACCGCCAAAAAGCACTTTAAGCAATATACAAAAATGGAGACGTGTGTGTCCTTTCGACTTTATGCGAGTAATGAGTAACCCTCAATGACACTTGCAACGAAATTTCGTCTTCTGCAGTGTACTTATATATACGAGTATGTATGTATATGTATATATATAGTTTTGCTTTCAGAACATGATTTTTGCTGTAAGGGTATAAGGGCTTCAAGTGTGTGCGTGCATGGCCCAAGTGCAAGTGTCCAGTTCGCTCAGAGTAAGCGTACTTGTGTACGCCTGCAACCAAGTGTCTGTACAAGGATGTGTCACTGGCAAGGATGTGCCAATTATGGTGAATTTTTTGCGTGTTTGCGCAAAGTATATGGTTGGTAAGCATTTCTTAGAAAGTTCGGAAATAGCAAGTGACCTTATGTGTTGTCTGTCGAATGATAGTTACTAGATGTTTGAATATCACTTCAAGGAAATTTTATTTTATATATATTTTTTAATAAGATTTTGAGATTTTTAATCAAAAGTATTATTTTAATTTTTATGACTATTGCCATTTTTTTTTTGTACTTCAAACTTAAATTTTAATATTAATTTTAATTTCAGTTTTATAGTTTAATTTTTAAATTCATTTAATTAATTCAATTTATAAATTTGAATTTTAATTTTATTATTGAATTCAATTTAATTAAGTTTAATTATAATAGCTTTTAATTTAAACCTTGCAACTTAAATTAATAATTTTAAAATAGTTTGAGTTACAATTTTATAAGTTAATTTCATTTAGATTTATTTAATTAATATTGAATTAATTTTAAGTTAATTTTAACTATTTGAAATTTTTATTTTAGTTTTCATTTAAATTTTTACATTTTTTTAAAGCAATGTAATTTACTTTAGTTTAATTTATTTCAATTTATTTTCATTTTATTTTTATAATATTTTTGATAATTTAAAATTTACTTTAATACATATTCAACTAACTTTGAGCAAATTCAACCTCTTTGGACTTTATTTTGTTTTATTTTATTTTAATTTTATCATAATAATATTTATTATTTAAATTTTAATGCTAATATTAATTTCAATATAAACTTTAATTTCATTTTTAGTTTTAATTTAAATTTAAATTTAAATTTTGTTTTTTATATTAGTTTTAATTTTAATTTGAAATGTAATTGTTTTTGGTGTAACAATAATTAAAATTTTAGTTTTAATTCAATTAATTTAGATTTCGATTTTAATATTAATTTAATATGAAATTTGTTGTTAATTTTAAATTTAGTTTTAATTTAATTTTATTTTTAATTTGAATATTAATTTATTAATTCTGATTTCGATTTTAATGTTAATTTTTATATTAATTTGAAATATAATGTTAATTTTAATTTTTATTTGAAATGTAATGTTAATTATAATTTTTATTTCAGTTAGTTTTAATTTTAATTTCATTTTAATAAAATGCAAAAAGCTGTGAATTATTATTGCCGATGAACAATATTGTGTGCGGAGTGCCTGGCGGCTATTCGCTCACATACATTAATGCACACTTTGATATATTTACATACATACATATATCGAATCACACATATGCATAATTCTAGAATTTCCTGCAAATAAGTTTATTATATAACAGTACAAAAGTTTATCCTTACAAGTGCGCACATACATGACGCACATATACAAAACTTCTACTCACCTATACATACTTACGCATATATAAATAAATATGTAAAATAACATATCCATACAAATCTGTTCCGATTTCAAATGAACTAAAAATAACTGTACTACAATTAGGCACTGCGACGCCTTGGTGTCGAATCCATGCACTCCTAAATAAAGTTGCTGCTACACACAACCACACACGTGTGCAACATACAAGTATGTACGGTTGTGTATTGGCCTGTAGTTTTATAAATAAATTCAACTCATATGCAAATTAGACACGTTTAGCACTCACTCGGTGGCCCATTTCTCTTAGCAGGAAATCGCATGGCTTTCATTATTGGTTGCAGCTGACAACTATTTGGGGTATACGTTGCGCACCAATTCGACAGGCACATAACCTCTTTCCATGCTAAAGGCTGCGGTGCTTAGTTAGGCTCCTTTCACTTTGCTGCAATGCAGAGCCACATCGATGAATCAGCAATATTTATTGACTCCCCGAAAATCGAAAAGGTAAGCAAGTGTTTAGTGATAGCACTTATGTATGCTAATGCAGTGATACTAAGCACTGGCGGGAAGGATAAATTGTCGCTGCTGTCGGTTCAAAATTTGTTATATATATCATGAAACCTGATATACATATATACCTTATGTGCTATTTACAATCCAAACGCAATATAATTAGCCATCCTGTTAAATTCCAGCCTTTTGCCTTTCCTCGCTTTGTAGAACACCCGAGTCATAAATTTTCTATGAAGGTAGAATGGAAAAAGCCGACTGTGTTTATATATACTCGTACTGTATTATGTTATATGAAAAAATGTTCAATTTTATATATAGCAGCGACGAATTATTGAAGTAAGCAGAAGAAGTTTAAATAATAAAAAGTGTTTGTAGTGGAAAAATAAAAGGTGTAACTTTAGTATGGCGACCAACGCATTTATTAATCATTTTCGCACCACTTTCAATAAGCTTTTCGAGACGGAAGTACTGTAATGAGGTCCATCATCGACATGAGATTCTTTAGCGTCCTTCTTACTATACAAGACAGTGTTGAAAGTGTTAGCTTGAGTCTATGCATTTTAATTGGGATAATTAACGACATGAAAGCTATTTAATTTATATATGTTTCTAAACAAATGCATTAGAGGAAATTTTCTGTCTTATTCAACAATTCGTTTGAGGCTTAAACTTAATATTGCATAATTTTAGGCGTAATGTTTTCAAGCAGGGATTGCTATTTTTAACAAGAGGAGCATTGTTCGCTATTGATGATAAAAGCTTTCAAGGCGCTTCTAGTCGATGATATTAAATGTACATAAGACATTTTTAAACGAAACCGAATAAACAGTCTAGAGGATCTACGCAAATGAGGAAGTTACGCAAATTACTTAAGTTTGCGAAATGGAGTACAATTTTGTCTATTTTTATGATAGATACAAGGGTTGTCTTTTATATTTCGCGATTAAAAAACCAAAACAAATATAATTCATTGAAAAACGCTTTATTGTTCTTAAGAATATTCTCCATTTAGATATCGACACTTTTGCATGCGTTTGAAACAATCGTCGAAGCCCTTTTGCCACTCTGATTGATGTATCTTCAAAACATGAGTTCTGAACGCACCAACCGTCTCTATATGTGTCGAAAAACGTTGACCTCTTAGTTTATTATTCAGTCAAAAATGCAGTTGTTTCAGTCGATGTGTGAAAGCTCGCATTGTCGCGGCGAAGAAGTGATCCGTCTTTGGTGGTTAGTTTTTCTGATTTCTTGAAAGACAACTGGCAAACAAATGGTTGTGTACCACTCAAAATTTATTGTTCTGCGTTGTTCTAGTGGTATGGTTGTGACCAAACGACACGAGCCCCTTTTTCAGCGATTGACAAATTGTGTGGAATACAAGGTGAACAATTTTTTTTTACAATCAAATGTTCATGCAATATTAAATATATGCTGGTCCCACTAATGCCTATAGAGGTTTCAATCTCACTATATGTCACATGACGATCTTGCAGTCTGCGCAGCAAAAAATTCCGGAACAACAACTGATTTTGCACCTCGATTGAATTCGCCATTTCATCGATTAAATTCTCTCTAAGAAGCTGTTCATTTGTCGGAACCGCTGATATTGGACTATAATAGGATATAGCTTCCACACAATTTTATTTGACAAGCAATCTTCGCGGAATTTGGTGTAGAAGAGTGTCAAAAATAAAGCTACCATTTCCGAACATATTGTTTTGATCGAACCAGCATAGCATATACTCGTAGCTGTAATAAAAACTTAACGATAAAAATAAAAAATTGTGTACCCTTTTACGTTATAATGCACGTGGGAAGGGTATTATAGAAAATTTAAGATATTTACATTATCCACATTTGACATTTTTAATGTTTTTGTAGATAAAATAATTTAAATTCATGAGCGAGCCTTAAGGGAAAGGAATTATTGCCTAACCTCTGACTTTGTCACAATTGCGTTTTTTGTTGAAAATCTCAATTGTCCCTAAGCGTAGTTAATATCTTGTCCTTAAAAAATCTCATATGCATATTGGAACGAGTGATTTAATAATGTTAGATTTAAGTTTTTTTAAGATTGATTTCATTTATTTTGATCTATCTCAATAAAATAAAACTGCGTAGAGCAGTTTTCAAAAGTTACTCCACCCATACTCAATGTAAGCGTTACCAAACCGAAAAGAAATTGCTCATACGTTTTCTTTATTGTACATTTAAGTGCCGCTTTATTTCTGCTTCCTTCAGGGATGATACAATTTTCTATTTGTCAAAGCAACGTCATTTTCTGACATTCTTGGCACAACCATAATTATGTGAAAATGTTTTTTTAATGAAAAATCATAAAAATAAATAGAGTTCAGCTGTTTTATGTGACAGCATAATGGTGCATCTATTATACACACCTACACGTACGGTGTTTCGATGTAGAGCTTCGAGTGACATGTTGTGAAAAATGTGAAAAACGACAGCAATGAATATTGCA